AGGGAGGCCCCCAGATCGCAGTGAAGCTACTGGGGGGATGGCTGTCTCCTCTCTAGCTGTAGCTCCACCCACCAGAACCCCAATACCTCAGGGCTGGGGAGTGGGGGAAGAAGAGACTTTTAAACACTGAGTCAGCAATCACTGAGGCGTCAGGTTCACGGCCCCGGTGGATCAAAGGCATCTGGTCCTCAGTGTCCCATGTCTGGATCCAATAGCCAGAGCAGTCCCAGATGGCTGGGGGTGCCATTGGGAGAGGTGGAGATGGGCTTGTTTCCCTCCCCTGGGCTGAGACAGCTGGAGGTGGTGGTGCAGTGGAGGGAACTTCCTTTTCCGGTGATGGTATTTACTGAAAAGCAGCTCTGCTTTTAGCGGCAGAAGTTCATGGCCCGGCCAGGCGCCTAAGCCAGCTTCTTCTCCAACCGCATGGAGGAGAGCCTCACGGCCGGTTTCTATTTGGTGTCGAAGGAAAACCATATACCACAGCCCCTGCAGAGGGCAGGGGAAGGAGCCGCCGAGGCCCAGGTGTCTCTAACCACAGTCCCAGGCTCGGTGGAGGAGGGGGCTCCCTGCCCTCAGTTACTGGAAAGAGAGAGGCTGGTTCAGAGCGAAACCTCCCTGAGGATTCCTCTTTCTTTTACAAGAAATAGAAAGTGACGGCCTTGCGAGCTAGGGGACTAGAGCCGAGGCCCAGGGCCCTCTGTCCCTGCCTGCCTCCCCACTACTAGCCCCAGGGGCCCCCTAAATGGCTGTCTCTGTCCCACCGTTGAGAATCCACAGTGCTCAGGGAGCGGGGTGTGGCAGGTGGTCTAGGGGGGAGGGGCAGGTGGCCAGCAGGACCAGGAGACTCCAGAGAAGATCTCTGAAGGCCTCCCCAGTGCCCAGCCTGGACTCCTGACCTATGCCTGCCTCGTGGGCACTTGCTGAATTTGGCTTTGGGGAGTCTCAGCGTTCACATCTCACTCAGCCATGTTGGGTGAGTGGCTTTACCTCCCTAAGACTCTCACGTCTCCGATGGACGAGGCAGTAAAGGGAGAAGCCAGTTTACAGCCTTCCTCTGCTCAGCATTCTTGCACGGCTCCCACCTTCTCTCTGCATGCCAGGCTCTTCCCAGGACATCCTGGCTCCCACCCTCCCCCCTTTTCAGTTCCATCTCTACTATTGGGTCTCAGTTCCTCTCCTCAAGCCCACAGTGGCTCAACTTCGTTCCCCCAGGGGGTCAAGGTCACCCCTGCCTCGGGGCCTCTGCAGCAGCAGCCCTTCCAGTTGCCCTCGTTCCTGAAGATACCCACCAGTCAGTCTTCTGCTGTCCTCTAACTTGCTTGCTTCCTACAGACTTGATCTGTTTGCCCCGAGTCTGTGTTTTCCACAGCCGGTGGCCCCGCTTGACATTACAGTTTTCGGGGAGACTGTTTCACACGTTTCGCTTGTGAGCGCTGAAGGGCAGAATCCAGAGTTGTGCTCAGTGCAGACTCGCCAGGGTTCGTGGAATGGATGAACATGGGTTGTGTGATGAGGAGGGAGATGGCTGTCACTCCGCACAGGCAGGAAGCACCTGGGTATTCCCCTGCCTCCCTCACCTTGCCTAAAATGGTGCATGGGTTCAAGTCACTTTGAAAGGTGAGGCCGGCAGAGAGCCAAGGCGGCCAGCTCGTCATGGCTGAGGCTCTAGCGTGAGCCGGAGGGAGTCCTGGCCTCCGAGATGAAGGACCTAGGGTCCAGCTGAGAGACTCGACCAAGGGACCGTCAGACCCTTGAGGGCCCCAGGCTCCTGTCCCGCACCCCCGCTCCACTGCCACAGCCCTGCTGTCACTGTCCTGCAGAGACACACGTCCTTGGACCGTCAGACTGTTGACACAATGGACCCCAAGACACTGGACCCTCCCCTCATCTCCTGCTGAGAGAGGGGCAAGGCTTGTCTCCCAGGAAGAGCCTTCCTCTTAGACCACCTTGTGGGAGAGGTTGGAGCCAGACGATGATGGGTCAGTGAGGGACAGACAGGGCCACACCATGGCCAGGACAGCCATGCCATGCAGGCCTCTTGCCTTTCTCTGCTTAAACCTCACTCATGACAGGACCTGAAAACGGACTTGAGGGCGGAGGGGGTCACTGCATCTCCTCATCTGTATTTCCTCACATGGCCACAGCGAATAAATCTCCCTTCTGCACTTCCTACTATGACTGTGTCCTTATGTGGCACAAGGGGACAGGCAGCTGAGCCCAACTGGGCAGGGCTGGCAGGGCTCAGGCTCTGACCTAACCCAAGAGGAACACCGACCCCAGCATGGAGGACCCGGCTCCCGGAGAGGGGCTTTCTCCATGTCGCCTCTGGAGAGGTCTATCCCAGGAAGCATGGGAGCTGATGGAGCCTCGCACCACGGCACCCAGCCAGGTCCTGAAGAGGAGGGACTTTCCAGGTGGGCCTCTTGGCCCCAGCAGGCCTGGCCTGGCCTCAGTTTCCTTCTGTGTGTTCTTAGAGACGTGAAGGCATCAGGCGGCACAGCCCCATGGTGAGCCCTGGCTTCTCCCCGCGGTCTCGCCAGGCCCTGGCTGAGGCTCGGGCTCTGGGCAGAACTGTCTGGGGTGGGCTGGAAGGCTGGGCCAGCACCTCTGCCCACCACCCCCTGGCAGAGCTACCAGTGGGTTGCTCCCAAGGCTGCTACACGCAACAGGATGGATGCGAGTGAGATGCCAGAAGAAAGTGCTTTTGTGAGCATTCTCAGGCCGACTTGATAATACTCGCGAGGCCTCTGAGGTTCAGTTTGGTCCTGAAACAACTTTTAAAAATGTGAATGAAGCTGGGCATGGTGGGGCACGTCTTTAATCCCAACACTCCAGAGACAGAGGCAGGTAGAAGTCTGTGAGTTCCAGGGCTACATTGTGACACACTGTCTCAAAATGGGGAGAGGGAGGCAGAATCAGGGGCCAGCAGCATTTGAAATACTAGGTAAAATGGGCACAGAAGGGTCACTAACAGGGTCACAGGGTGGAGGGTGTCACAACGCCCTTGCAGAACAGCGCTAATTGTCACTTTCTGGCTCCTCAGTCGCTGCTTGACCTAGCTTCCTCTTCAGCTCCTTGCCAGGGTCTTGCAGTTTGAATAGGAGTTCGCTAGACAAAGATGAGTAGGAAAGGGTTCCAGAAAACTGGAACAGGACATGTCAGTGAGATTAATCTGTCCAAGAAGTAACAAGCCGTGCATTGACGCTTACTGTATGCACTGGAGAATCTAAAGACTATTTCCCAGCCAGGGGTTCTCAGTAGGGGACACAGGACATTGGGCTGTGAGCCTGGGGGATGAGGGTGCTCCTGGTGTTTCGCAGGGCACTGGATGACCACCATAGGGTAGGTGGAGGGTCTGTGCCCGGATAGATGCCATCAGGACCAGCTGAGAAGGGAGTAAAAAAGCCAGGTTTCCAAGAGTTTCTGATCAAAGGACTTGCTGTGCGGATGGCTCTGGGGCCAGCTGCCTAGGGAGGGGCCATCTGAGCCCCTTGAGGGGTGCTCACACAATGGGCCCCTCTGTCTGCTCCATCCCGATGTCCTGCTCAGGATCACAGATACCCCTCTTTAGTCCTGGTGGGATGTCACAGTCCCCGAGGGGCTGATCTCACACTTCAGGCCACTCTTAACTGATCCCTGGGTTGCTTGGGACCAGCAGAGGACATCTCTGAATTGCCATCTGCTATTCAGTCAACAAACATCTTATCAGTGTGTCAACGTGGCCCGGATGAATAGAACAGCTTAGGGTATGCTACTTGGCACCCATTGCATGGCATACAGTAGGCCTTTGACCTAGATGGTCAAAGGAACAAAAACTAGTCTGGAAGCCTCTGTCCTTCAAGATCACGACCGAGGTCAACATGAATTGTGTGCCTGCTGTCTGCCAGCACGCCAGTGAGTGCCCACCTCTGAGAAGACTAGAAAATGGCTACCACTTCCAAGGCTAAGTGCTGGGATGGGAGCCCAACCTCCCAGGGTCTGGCGGTACCCAACGCCTTTGCTCTGACTACGCTCTGACTGTCCTAAGCTACACACCAGATCAGAGTGGAGAAGCAGTTAGCCCAAGGTCACACGGCATGGGCTTGTACGCAGGCTGTGTAATCCCAGCCCAAAGTCTGCTCATCAGCCCCACAGACCCTTGAGGAAGGAGTGCCAAGGAGTTGGGAGCGGGTGGCCAGCGAGAGCTGAGGTGTACAGGATGAGGCAGGGTGCTCTGAAACAGGGGGACCCTGGGCAGGCAGGAGGTGCTGCCAACTTCCACCCCCGCTGGGGGCCAACCTGCCGGGAGCCTGTGAGGAGGTGCCCTCCCGCCCTCGCCAGGCTGACAATGGCTCCTGTGTGCGCCTTAGTGTGTGAGAGGCGTTGTCCTCTGGGAGGGCTGGCTGTGGTGGCCCATGTCCCAGGTCGCTTAGCAAGGAGAGGTTCCAGTGCCTGAGGGTGATGTGTGTGTGGGTCTGGCCTATGGCTCCTGTGTGTCTGTTCCAGTGTGCCCACGCAGGTCTTGCACACCTGTGGAAGGTGTGTCTGAGCAAGCCTGTGGCTTGGGCCCCTTTTGTGTCTGGGGCTGGCATGTGTATATGGCTGGCTGCACGTGTGTTTCTGTGTTTTGGTCGTGTGCGGTCCATCAGGTGCACATCTGCCTGCATCTGTCTGTGGAGCACCTCAGAGACCAGGTGCTGGGCAGGGAGAAGACATCGGGGTCACCGACAGGCATAGTCCTACGTGAGATGCAGCCACCGGAAGCTGGCTCAGTGACACGTGAAGGTGTCTTATGGCATCTAGCTGTGGGCCAGAGAGAGAAGTGAACTCAGAGGGTAGCCAAGCTGTCTATAGCAAGCCATGGTGCCCTGCTGCTGTGTGATATAACTGCTGGGGAGATGCAACACGCTCATCTACTCCCCCCAATAGGGAGCCCACGACAGAGCAAAGTATGGATGCTATCAAATCCAACTTGGGGAACCAATGGGTTTTATTGGGGTCACTTATAGGAATATGGGTGAGGGGTTACCCACAAGAGCAGGAATGATTCAAACACAGCTGCATCACCAAAGCCCACCCCAGCATGGGTGACAGCTCTCGAAGCTGGGAACGCGGAGCACACTGCACAGCCTGCAGGCAGCTCCGCAGGTGGCAGAGTGTCCTTTCCAGGTGCCTCAATTGGGCTAAACGTCTTCCAACAGCTTGACTGGTCTCAGAGTCTCTGTAGCTCAGCTTCCTTCTGAGGGAGAATCTCAGCTTTTCTTACTCTGGAAGGGAAGGGCCGAGTGGATCTGCTCAGTTTCAGGGACTTCCTGAAGTTGTCTTATTTACCTTCCTGCACAGGCAGCTGCCAGGCAGGATAGAACGTTTCAATCTCAGATGAAACTGTTACACAACACCTGCCCCAGGACAAGAGTATCAGTTGGCCATTTTGTAGAGGCTGCAACCGAGGCCAGGGAAGAGTCATACCCTCTGAGGCTGGAGGAGGAGCTGGCCCAATATTTCCACCTCAGCTGCCTACCCTACCCAAGAGTCTTCTTGTCCCAAAGTCCTTGTGAGGCCTGCACTAAAGACAGGACTGAACCCTTTGAAGTCACAGGGCCTAGTTCAACTTTTGTCTTTGCTACTGAATGTCTATGTTACCCAGGTCAAGTCACTTGGCCTCTCTGTGCTGTTGTCTCATTAGCCAAATGGGAATGATGGTTTCACTGTCGCCAAAGTGCCTGATCACTGCCAACCCACAGCAGCCCATTAGCTTTGGTGCTCTCCAAACTGTCCTGGCAGTACCCAGTGGTGGTGGCGCACACCTTTAATTCTTGCACTCAGAAGGCAGAGGCAGGAGGATCTCTATAAGTTTGAGGCCAGCCTGGTCTACAGAATGAGTTCCAGGACAGCCAGGGCTACACAGAGAAACCCTGTCTTGAAAACAAAACAAGACTGTCCTGGCCTTGACCGTGGCGTGGCTCCCATTCTCACTGAGGCCTTGAGAGTGGTTGAGAGAAGGCTGGCTGTGAGCTGAGTCCAAGGCCAACACAGTGAGTGATGTCCTGGGTGCTTGGGTAATGCAAGGCCAGGCCTGCTACAGGTGTCTGTAGGTGGGGTTTTGGTCGGGACTGCTGGCTCCCCAGTAAACGACATGACACAGAGACTTACTATTAATTGTAAATGCTCGGCCGATAGCTTAAGCTTGTTACTAACTAGCTCTTACAACTTAAATTAACCCACATTTCTTGTCTACGTTCTACACGTGGCTCGGTACCTTTCTTTAACATGACATCTTCATCTTCCTTCTCGCCGCGTCTCCTGGCAACCCTGCCTTCCCTCACCCTCTGCACTCTTTTTCCCTGTCCTCAGGTCCCACCTAACCTCCTTCTGCCTAGCTATCAGTCAGTAGCTCTTTATTAAACCAATGACAGCAACATTATCTTCACAATGTACACAAAGATTATTCCATAACCAGTGTCAGTCAGGTGACATAGTGGATAGGCTTGGAATGTGGCTGTCCACCTGGTGGTGGCTCCCACCGTGTGGAATGGAAGCTGTAAGTCTGATGGGGACAAGTTCTGGCTCCCTCTCCTCTTCTGGATCTGTTTGGGCTTCCTGGGCCAAGAGTTTGGCTCAAGCAGGTCATCTGAGGAAGCTCTCTGACCCTGTCTGAGGGATCCAGGACTCAGTTTACCCACCTGTCCATGCTGACCAGAGGCTTCCACTGTTATTGCTTTAGGGATATCTTGAGTCACTGGGAATATGGTCCAGCTGCCTGTGACAGCAGACGGAGCCCTGTGAGTAGAACAGGTGCCCTCAGAAGCCCTGACTAAAGGTTCCTCAGTTACCTCCCCATGCCACCTCATGCCCTTGCCTTCTGGTCCCCATTTCAGGATTTCCTCCTCACCTGGTACCCTGTTCCCAAGAGGCACTCAGGTAGCCAAGCCCATGGTCCCCTTGCTTCCTTCTTTCTGGCCTGTCACTCTTCCTGGCTGCCACATGCTCGGATGCTGTGGGTGGCTCAGGGGAGGTGTCAGGGACTGATGAGGAGCTCAGACTCACTTTTTGATGACCTGCTGAGGCACGGGGCACACCTACAGGGGCCCCACTCAGGCACTGGAGCAGCTCGGACCTCTGTTCCCTGTGACCTGCTTGTGCCCAGCCTTGAAGGTAGTGAAAGGCCTCGACAGCGGTGCTCCACCTGATCTGCAGGTGGCATGGGGTTCATGGTGAGGAGAGAGCCATCAGGCTGGGAGGTGGAGATCACAGGCTAGAGGAATGCCACACGAGGGGCCAGCCTTTTCAGCTCAGTTGCAAAGGGTGGGCGGGCACTACTTGTGCAAAGGACCTGGGATTGCCTAGGCAGAGAGATGTGGTGGGAACTGAGGGAGTGGTGGGGACCAGAAGGGTGGAAAGAGGTGGGGTTCAGGTGTGTTTGGACAGTCCAGGCAGAGACTGGAGAGATGGCTCAGCAGTTAAGAGCACTGGCTGCTCTTCCAGAAGACCTGGGTTTAATTCTCAGCACCCACATGGCAGCTTACAGCAGTCTATAACTCCAATTCCAGGGGATCTGGCACCTTCACAAACATACATGCAGGCAAAACACCACCGCACACACACAAAAAGTCTTTTTAAAAATGTTTTTGTTTTTTTTTTAAAGACAGTCTTAGGAACAGGCTTCCGTGGTGGGCTGGGGTGGGGAATGCAAGGAGACCAGCTCAGGGCAGTTTGCGGGACTTTAAGATGCAGGGACTCAGCAGACAGAGGACAGTTAGCCATGCCCTCCCACCTGTCCCGTGATGGCGCCTCCTCTTCCCAAACTCCGGTCAGAGCTCCATCCTAGACCCCACCTCCATTGTGCTCTAAAATGCTGGTGGCTCCCCAGTTCCTCCTGATTAGGGGTGAATGCCTTGGCTGGGCCAGATAGCCATCTGGGATCCATCTCACCTGCCTGCTATGATCTTGGCACCGTGTGACCAGCCAAGGGATGGTCCTTATTCCCAGAAACACACCCTGCCCCCCACTCTGTCTCCCTTCTGCTTGCTTCTTCTCTCAGACACTTTGAGTCACACTTATTTATCACCTCCCCTCCCCCGGTGGTCACACAGATGCAAGATTCGTTCCTGGGCCCAGAGAGGGTCTTTGTTGGAGTCCATGTCTCAGCCCACTCAGTCTCTGGAGATGGTAGTGTTCTCTGAGGTGATGCCATCCCCACAGCACACCTTTGAGCTGCCTGAACAGACTCTAAACGGAGACCTGATATTTGAGAGTGCCCCAGGCCATGGCTCACAATGGCTGATATACAACCCAGCACAGAGTCCAGTTCTGCCGAGCCCCTGAAAAGAAAACACGAGGTGTCTTGAGGAGGTGGCTGTGCTAATGCCAGGGTAGCCACTGTGCCACTGAGGGGAGATGGGTGCCTGAGGTCACCAGCCACGCAGGAAGCCCACAAGCACTTCTAGAAGCTCCTGAATCAAGCTGTGCCTGAAGCAGACTTGTCTGAACACCTCAGAAGCACACATCAGTACATTCTCTTACTCAGTCTCTCTTTTATTATTTTTATTTATTTATTAAGTGTTTGGCAGTTAGGCATGCATGTGTACTTAGGCCAGAGTCAATGTCAAGTGTCTCCCTCAGTTGGGTTCCTCCTTAGTTTTTAAAACAGGGTCTCTCACAGAACCCAGAGCTCCCTGATTTGACTAGCCTGGTTGGCCTGCAAGACCCTGGCATTCCCCCATTTCTATTTCCCAAGTGCTGGGATTTAGGCACACGCCACCACACCCAGCTTTTCTTGTGTGGCTTCTGGAACTTAAACTAAGGTCCTCAGACTTGTGGGACAAGACCTCAACCTACGGCTCTTCCAGCCCCTCACTTTCTCTCTTTAAAACTCGCCCTGGGACGGGTTTCTGGCGCAGGTGCTTCCCAGAATTCTGACATGCACAGGACTGGCTCAGCATTTACTATCACCCTGCCCACCCTGCCTCCGCCTCTTGAGGCATTCCCCTGTGGGAATACACTGGGAGTCTATTCCTGGGGAGGCCTGACACTCACTGTACCATCACTCACTGTGGACAATAAGAATTGTCTCCTCCTTCAGTTAACAAGATAGAGAGACAAAGAGACAAAGACAGACAGACTGACAGACACACACACACACACACACACACACACACACACAGAGAACGAGAGAGAGAGAGAGAGAGAGAGAGAGAGAGAGAGAGAGAGAGAGAGAGAGAGAGAAAGGATTCCTCCTCACACCTCAGGGAAGCGCTCTTCCAGTCTCTGCAGGATCCTGTAAAGCAGCAAGCTCTTCCTCAGCATGCTGGGAACACTATGTCAGGAGCCTTCCTTCCAGAACGTACCTCCGGATTTCTCAGCCTCTGCATCTGGACATATATCTAGAGCTGCCACTCCTGGCTTTCTCCCAAGATGGCTTCTTCAGTATCCCTGATCTCACCCAGCCGGATGTGAGTGGTACTGCTCGCCCTGACTGTGATAACCTTGAATGTCTCCATACCTCCCAAGACAGAGGCAGCCCTGCTTATGTACCCCAGCAGAGCCCTCCTGTGTACTCATTAGATGCCCGCAGTCATCAATTGGAGAAGACACCGAGGAACATTCAGGAACTTGGTGTTTCTAGGAGAGCTGGCTCCTTTGTGTAGGGAGAAAGGGAGCCACTGCAGGAACACGGGGTTGGGGTGGGGAAGTGGGGGAGCCTTCAGAGAGAGAGAAAGGGAAGAAGCAGATGAGAAAGTCTGGGTCGTGCTTGACTGTGAGGTTTGGAGCAGCAGCGGCCATTATGAGTCAATGAAGAGAACTATTGGGAGGACGGAGCCCAAGTCTGGGATCTATGTCTTTTCTGATTGCCTAAACTGCTGACTTAAGTAGTCCCTAATTCCCTGTAGCAATCTAAACACCTGGTCTACTAGGTGGGTGTTTCCTAACTTCTAAAGCCCCCTTGGGTGGTGCATCTCTCCTGCAGTCAAAAGCACCAAAACCCCGTGGATTGTATATATATATTCCGACTCACCTTTGAGGTCACATCTGATTTCCAATTGAGGGCAAAGGGATGTACTCTCCATACCAGGGAGAAGGGCACCAGAGAGGAGAAGGCTAGAAAGATAAACCAGAAATTCTTTTTGTGAACTATGGTTTTTCTAAACAACTGAGGCTGCCTTGAACTCTCAACATTGCCTCTGCCTCCTGAGTGTCAAGATTATCACCACGCACCACCATGCCCTGTTTATGTCCATGCTGGGGGTGGAACCCAGGGCCTTGAGCATGCTAGACCAGCAGTGTACCAACTGAGCCACACCCCCAGCCTGGAACTCTGTAGATTTTTTTTGTGGTTGCTGTTGTTGTTTGGTTTGTTTTCTTTTGTTGTTTGTTTGCTTTGAGACAAAGTCTTGGTGTGTAGCCCAGGCTGGCCTGGAACTCGCTATGTAGATCATACTGACCTTGAACTCACAGACCTCCTAGTGCTAGGATTAAAGACCAGTGCTACCAGGCCTGGCTCGGATTCTGTTTTGTTTTTTAGATTTTATTTATTTTTGTTTCATGTGTATGGATGCTTGTATGCATGTATGTCTGTACAGCACGTGCATGCTGAGGTCAGAAGAGGGTGTCAGCTCCCCTAGAACTGGAACTACAAACAGTTGTGAGCTGCCATGTGGGTGCTGGGAACCAAACCTCGGCCCTCTGCAAGAGCAGCCACTGCTCTTAACCACTGAAACATCTTTCCAACCTTACTGGCTCATCTATCAAACACTTCTGTATTAGACTCTGTATGTCCCATCCTTCTGGAACTCACCATTGAGAGATCATTGTCAATCAGGATAGATCAATAACCAGTCTGCCAGCTGATGGCGATCAGGTTCTCTCTGAGGTGGGTAGGCTGCAGACTTCTGGTCTTTTGGGATCAAAGGCAACACGGTTAAGAAAGAGTCCACGTGCTGGGTGGTGGCACTTGGGAGCTGAAGCAGGAGAATGGTGAGGTCCTGGGCAGCCTGGACTATAGAACGAGCCCTTGTTTCAGATAAACAAAGCAAGGAAAGAGAAAACACTCACTCTGCCTCGGACTGGGACATGAGGGGGAGTCGAAAGGACCTCGGTGGGCACTGTAACTCCCTAGCACACAGGGATGTGGGGTCAGTACTGGCCCTGAATCCTGGGCCAGCCCTTGGCAGCATGTGACCACAGAGGCCTCCGCTTCTCTCTGGCAAGCCCCACCCCACAGGTCTGGTGCTCTCATGGTGGTGGCGATGCTCAGATATGTACACGTTGGCCACGATTGCACCACTGTGTGTCCAGGACAGCGCTGAGCTCCCACTGACCACGGGGACGGTCTCAGCGTAGCCTCTCCGCCATCACGCAGCAGTGACGAGAACTCCTGGGATGGGGGAGGGCGTCACCCCACACTTCCCCTTTTGGTCCTTTTGAAAATAAACAACGGATTGCAAGTTGGAAGAGCTCGGTTAGTAACTTCCAGCCGCAAGTGGGAAGGGAACAGAGCAGGTGTTCGTGGTCCATCCAAGAAAGTTCCGGAATCCTGTGTGCCTGACAGTAGGAGCTGTTCTCCACCCTCGCCCACCTCATCTCTGGGGTCAAGGGGAGGAAGAGAAGCCATGTCAGCCAAGGCAGGTGGCAGGTCTCTGGGAACAGGCCTGTAAACCCTGACCACCCTCCTCCACTCCTTGCTCCTGGGCCTGAAGGGAAAAAAGCTCCGGGGAGGATGGATCCTTCCCTGGAGGCCAGGCAGGCACCGTGAAGGGACCAGTGTCCAGAGGGCAGGCAAGGCCAGGGGATCCTGGGGCCTGAACTCTGGCTAGTCTGTCCTGCTCACCAGCCACTGCCTGAGCACCTACTGTATGCTGAGCAGGACCAGTACCAAGTAGACACACTGTGTACTCTCAGAGTGGGGGCTGTGGGAGGGGCAGACAGTGGGTTGGTGACATGCTGGAGGTCCAAGGAACCCCAAGCTCAGTGATGATGTTGAAAGGGTCGGGAGGGCTTGCTGGGGAAGTGATCTTCAGTGGAAAGCTGACAGAGTGGTGTGGAGAAGCCACGAGAGCCAAGGCAAGTGCAGTGGAAAGCCGATGGAGTGGTGTGGGGTCTGGGATGGGAAGCTGGAGGTGACGTAGCAGTGTGTACAAAGGCTCTAGGCAGCAACAGGCCTGTCCTGAGCCATAGAGGCCAGTACAACTGAAGCCAGGGAAAGGGGAGAGTATTATGGGCTAGGAGAAGGTCCAAAGAAGGGCCAGGGCAGGCGTGGCCTCATGGGGCAGCCCGAGGACCTTTACTTTATCTGAGTGAGGTGGGAGCCACAGGAGGCCCTGGAAAGAGGAGGCCCTGCCCCAAACCACATTCTAGGAGAGGGGACTGTAGGACAAGGATCGGGAGAGACTAGGACTGTGCTCACAGCACATCGACTGCGGTACACAGCCACGGACCCAGGGAGACGCACCCGAATCAGAAGCTCACCCGTGGCCCCTGTGCCATTCAGCCCCTCCCCCACACACCCGCATGCTACCACGCAGCTGGCATGCACTCTGCGTCCCTGTTGATTCCAAATGTGTATTCTAGATGTATGTTCCACACCCGGGCTCTGCACACGTGGGTGATCCAATGCAGTGCACAATCTACACACATGTGAACACCCACAGGATACCTATGTGGGTGTATTTTGTAAATATGTGTAGACTTGACCCACGCAGCAACCCCCCACATATACCACACATGACACACCGCACACACACACACACACACCACCTACAACACAGCACACACACCATGCTCACCCCCTACCTACTACAACACAACATGCCACACATACACACACCCCACATACTCACACATACTTATACCATACCACCCACCACATACCTCCCCCACACCAGTCACACGTCATTCACACACACACACACACACACACACACACACACACACACACACACACACGTACCTAGTGATCCAATGCCTGCATCATAAACCACGTTGACATGCTTCTGACTTCAGAATGGGGAGCCTGCCACTTTGGATTTGGGGTGCAGTTTCTGCTTCCGCTGCTCGGCTTGGCCGGCCTCTCAGGACTCGGGGACCACAAACCTGCCTGGCTGCGTTGCTCATGCAAAGCGGCCACCTGCTTCAGGGGCAGACACAGGCTATATTAGCTGTCATCACCTAATAACGAGGTCTGATCTGGAGCCAAGCAAAGCCTACGGGGCACCTTCCCGGAACAAGGGCGTGCTCACACGTTGGCACGCACACCCACACGCCCTCTGTCCCGAGCAGGGTGTGTGGGAAAGTGGCAGACCCATGTGGGAAGGAAGGACTGAAACTCTAGGGACTTGTGAGTCAGCACAGGGATGGGACAGTTAATGGGTGTGTCCCTCAGCTCCAGAAAGATGACGAGATGGAAGGCTAGATAAAGTCTGGAGGGCAGGTGGGTTAGTCAAGATTCCCCAACTCGACTCACAAGGGACCAAACCCCAACACAGATCAGTTCAAGCCAAGAAGAATTCAGTGAGTCACATTAAAGACATCTTAGAGATGGGTTGCTTCAGGCACAGCTGGATCCAGGTGTTTGGATGACCTCTGCTTCCCACATCTCTGGAAGACTGAGCTGACGAGAGGTACGGAACAGCTCTGTGGCTGTGAGCTATTATGGTCTGCTGTCGCCATGACAGTCTCCCAGCCTAGGAGCTGTAGGGAAGCCACGCTCTGCCCCCACTGGACAGGCTCCCACAGGAGTTGGGTCTCGGGCTGGAGGCAGACTGCTGTCACCCTGTTTCTGCAAATTCCCTGCCAGGGAGGCCTCTGGGTCTGGATAGACTTGGGATTCAGACTCAGTTCTGTTCTTCAGTGCCATCATCTCCCCATGCCTCAGTTTCCTCACTTGTAAAATAAGGACAACGACACTCACTTTGGTTTGTTGTTGTTGTTGTTTTAAAAAATAAAATTGATTTGTGTGTGTGCCTGTGTACACGTGAACATGTTCCTATGTATGTGCTCATGTGTGTGGAGGATGATGTCAGTGTCTTCATCCCTAGAGTTCCACATTATTTAGTTCTTTGTGTTTGTGGGAGGGGTGTGTATGTGGGCATGCGTATGTGAAGGGATGTAGAGACTAGAGGCTGACATGGAGTGTCTTTCCCTATTGCTCCGAATTTTAATTTTTGAGTCAGGGTCTCACTGAATCTGGAGCTCACAGATCTGATAAAAGTCTCTGACCGGCGAGCCCCAGGCCGGCGAGCCCCAGGCATCCCCATGCCTTGGCCTCGGCAGCACCGGGATTACAGGGGTATGCCGCTGTCCTTGGATTTTTACATGGATTTACGGGTTGAACTCGGGTCCTCACGCTGTGGGGTGACCACTTCACCCACTGGGCCGTCTCCCCAGGTTCCAGCTGATTGTGTTTGAGATAGGGTTTCACTCTGTAGGCTAGGTTAGCCTCAAACTGGCAATCCTCCTGCCTTAGCCTCCTGCTCACTGGGGGTCCCCAGCCAGTGAGAGCCTAGATTTGTGCCGAGGCATCTGGCCATGCAGCTCGACTCTGTGACTGGAAGGTAAGATTCAGGCTGTCCATGCAGGTGTCTTGAGTTGGAGGCTGGTAAAGGGGCGACGTCTACACTGCCTCAGCTTTCCTCTTCGGTGAAATGGCCTTTCAGCTATGGAACAAGGAGAGAGGTGGGCTAAAAAGAGACAAAATGACTCATAGATGACATCACATTTGTGTGTTGAGAGCCTACTGTATGTTTAGGATTTTGGGATGGGGGTTAACGTTCCACCTCTGAGAGACCTCTTTCCAGTGTCTGGTCCCACATAAGTGATGGCCTACTGTGGAGAGACTGCAGCAGAGACCCAACGGTGATGGGGGACAGGAGACATCTGGGCTGTGACCGCCCAAGGTGAGGTGGAGGGCCTGCAGGGAGACCTAAGTGTGGGGCACGCAGTCCAGCCTGGAAGAGCCATCGATGCGAAGATCCTGAGGTTGGAGTGAACAAGGCCTACTGCTGCTGGCAGGAAGGCAAGGTCCAGCCCCACCACAGGCAGCCGGAGTGCAGCCTTGTCCTCCAGACTCCCCTCCTGTCCCCCTGCAGAACCGACCTCAGGCCAGCATCGCCTTCCTGAGCCATCCCAGCTGCTGCGGAGGCAGGCGCTGCTGTCCTGCTTTGCCTGTTAAATGACAAACAGCATTCTTTGTTCTCACTTCGTTATGTGACAGATGCTCAGGGGGCTGCTGCCATCAGTCCTCTTCCCTGGCCAACACGGGATGCTGAGGACCGCCAGCCTTGGCTCTGTGTCCTATCCTGCCTGGCCTCTGTGGAGTGGGGACAGTCCACGGAGGGTCTGTAGGTGATCGTGGCCCCCTGCCTGGTTCAGGACAGCCCTGGGCTCTGCCAGGGGAGTGTGGGGTCTCAGGGCAGGATGCTATCCTTGCATGGAGAAGACTGAGCCTGCAGCCGTCAAAAAGCTAAATACATTCTTAAGGTGCCTCTGAATCTTCTTTCGACGGATCCACGTGAGCCCACACACCCATGTCGCAATATACAGTTACATAGAGGTCACCCATTCCTGGAACCAGCAGGCTGGGCTCCCAGGGGCCAGCCTCTGTGAGATGGGTGCACTGTCTGCTTCAGCCAGAGCCTCCTTCCACACCAGAGACAGAGACCGCGATGTGTCTCAGGCTGTCATTGTGTGGGACCTGCACACAGCCACCCTCTGGGAGCTGGGTGTGTGGGTGGTGATGCTCTGGGGGGGCAACAGGGCTTCCTGTGGACTGAGAGCTCCAGCTCCCCAGGGTCCTTCCTACAGCCGCTCTTCCTGAGTCCCCGCCTCCCGAGAGAGGTGTGGCTCCGCAGCCTGCACAGGAGCCCTGAGCAGCCAGCCCTGGAGCTGGACCTGAACCCAGGCCTGCTGGGCAGGGCTGCCCACGCTGCAGGAAGTGGCGGCGTCTCAGAATGTTTGTGTCTTTGTCCTCTTCTGACCTCTAGGCATCCCGGGCTGCAGCCTATAGAAGATGGCTGTCGTCCTGTCGCCCCTGACAGGTGTGTCCGGGCAGAACCGTGGTGGGAGCATTTGATGTCAGAGACGCTCGCTGAAGGATCTGGGAGCAGCAGTGGAGAAGAAAGAACTTGGGGACGCAGGACCAAGGGAACTGCAGTCTCTGAGAGGCTCTCCAGAGCTCTGTCTCCACTGAGCTACACCACCAGGCCACCAGGCCATCAGGCCACCAGGCCTGCAGCCAACCCCATCCTGTAGTCCCCACCTCATCCTGCACCCCTTCCAACTCCTTGTCTCCTCGTTCCTACCCTACTTGGACCCATGCTTCACGTGGTCAGGGGGCGCCTCAGAGCCGAGTCAGTGATGTTGTCCTGCCCTGGTAAAGCCTCCGTTGTCCCTGCTCTGTACCCCAAATCCTGCCTGACACCTCCACTTCAACCAGTTGCCACCCTCATCTCAGCCCTCATCACGCCAGGGGGCTGCCTCCATCTTGGCCCAGCAGTCACCCGCTATGGAGGCTGACCCTGACTCCCCACTCTGCCACCAAGCAAAAGCTGCTGCTCTCATATACCATGCTGACACCCCCAGAATCCAGTTCACACTGTGGCCAGAGAGTTCCTCCTGCACCCCAAGTTCTCCCTGGCCATCCCTTGCCTAGACTCTCTCTAGTCCTACCTCCGGGTTCAAACTCCAGATAAGATCTCTGCAGACCTAACATCCTCCAGCCTCCATGTCCCCTGAGCTCTCTTGCATCAGCACTCGGACTCTGTGTCATGCTGGTTGCCCGGGTTTCACCCTCCATGAGGGTACCCTGGGGACAGTGGGCACTGTCCAACACCCTGAGCTCCCTAGATGCTACAGGACCCTGTTGCCAGTTACATCTCCAACTGTTCTTCAAGCAGACTAGCATCTCTTTGGACCAAGCTGTTGACTGACTCTCATGAAGGACTGATGGGGTATGTAGGGTCAAGTCCCACCTCCGCTGCTTTTGGGTTGTGTGTTCTGGGGTGGGTTGCTTGGTGTCTCTGGGTCTCATTTCCCCACTGAACTGTATAAACTTGTTGTCTAGGTTTGTTCCCATCAGGCTTTGTGGACACACACTGCTGCCTGCCCCAGGGCCTTTGCACAGGCTGTTTGTATACCTCCTGGCTTTGCCTGGGAAGTCTAGTGCTGCCTCCTCTGGAAGACCTCCTTGATCTCTCCAGAGCACACACACTGATTTGAGGTTTTTGAGCTTCAGGATCCCGTCTGACTGCTGGCCGACTCCAGCCAGGGTGCTTTTCACCTCTGTCGTTGTCGCTTACGCAGCACGAACATTGTTGGAAGATACCAGTCACCTGTGCTGTGACCTTGGTCTTTTCATCCTCCAAATGAGAAAGCTGAGACTGGAGTGCTCCCTCCCAGCAGGCCTTCAGCCTCCCTCCTCCACCCGCGCTGCACACTGGACCCAAGGCTGGAGGCAGGAGACATCCCTGTGACATCTGTGTGGGGTCCCTGAAGGCTTGGGGTCAGGCTCCCTCCCCCAACAGTTCCCTCCCTCCAGGCAGCCCCTGGTGGCAGCCACTGTGCTCTCCACACACTCCCTCTGCCCCCACACCCTGCCTCTCACCGTGGATGGCTCTGTCAGGATTTCCTCTCCCTGTCCGTCATGGCGGCTCCCTTCTCTCTCCCTTGTGTGCCGTTCTCCCGGGACTCCTCGCCCAGCAGCGGGGTCTTCGAGGCTGTACCTCTGTCTTGGCTGCACACACCGCTGAAGTGACCAAGGGAAAAAGAGAAGCGGACCAGTGGACTCGGCTTCTCAGCTTGCAGCTGCGTAGAGTCAGCTCAGGGCTGCGAAATGGCTCACAGCAGAGTGCGCCCCACATGCACAGGGTCCAGGGTCCACCTCCAGAGTGGGAAAAACTCAGCTCAGACTACCAACACAGAGGAGACTCGCTAGTCACACACAGAAACCTAGCAGCAGGCCGAGCTCCTGGCCCACCCACTTCCTCTTCTGTTCGCGAAGCTCTTCTCAGTCTGTGCTGGGTTGGTTTTTGTTTTTGTCTCAGCTGGCTTCTACTGTGTTCCACTGAGCACAGCAAGGGCTGTGAGGAGACAGGGGAATGACTATCAGTATGCAAATATACGTTCTAAGTCCCAAACACTGAGTGGTTGAATGTCCACAGACAGAACTGGTTTCTCGTAGCTGGAGGGGACATTTAGAAAATCATCGTAGCCGTGGAGCAGGACTGCAGTGGCTGGCCCCCAAACAGGAGCAGTCTCAGGAGGAGGAGGAGGCAGAGAGAGGCTCAACACTCCTGCTTCCTAGTCTCTGCATCAGAGTCTGAGGGGAGAATTCTCTGAGCAAAAAGCAGCCCAGGGGACGAGGGTCAAAGCCCCAAGTCTTTCCCCAGAACCTCTCGAGTTGAAGGCGGGATGGTGCAGATCTCCACTAGGGCAGAGTGGCCCAGCCACAGGGGACTTTGCCAACAGCTCTTTAAAGTGTTTGTTTTTCTGATTGTGGTGACAATGGCATGCTTATTGTTAAACCACCGCCAATAACTCAGAAAAGCATTTAAAACGGTGGCTCCAGCCCAGAGTGGTTTTTGTCCCTGGAGGAGCATGTGGCAGTGTCTGGGGACATTTGGGGTTACGTTGGGGGCAGGGTGTCTCTGGCATCTAGTGGGTAAAGACCCAGACTCTGCACCATTCTCCGAGCTTAAAGTGACCCAACCAACCCACGTCTGTGGTGCCAAAGTGTAGGCAATGGGATTTAAAGATGTGAAAACACCTCCCAGTGGCACACACCTATCATTTTAGCACTTGGGAGACTGAGGCAGGGGGATTGTCATGAGAACAACGCATCAGGACCCTGTATCAAGACAGAATACATGTCAAGCCTGCACAAGCCTGAGTCACATCCCCAGACTCACGTTTTCTACGGGGCTGGAAAGATGCTCAACGGTTAAGGGCACCTGTTGCTCTTGCAGAGAACCTGAGTTTGAGTCCCAGCCCCTATATGGTGGCTCACACTCTGACCAAAAGTAACTTAGGGGAGCGAGAAGCTTATTCGGCTTTCACTTCCAGGTCACAGTCCATCATTGAGGGAATTCAAGGCAGGAACTTGAAACAGAAACCAATGGAGGATGCCCCTTCCTGGCTCGCTCTCAGGCTCAGGCTCAGCTCAGCTTTCTTTTAGAACCCAGGACCACCTGCCCAGGGAACGGTGCCGCCTGCGGTGGGCTGGACCCTCCTATGTCAATTAACAACCGAGACAACCCCTCCACCCTAAACCTCCGCAGACGTGCACGCTGGCTTTGCCTCTTGGAGGACTCTGGGCTGTGTTGGTTGCCAGTTAAAGACAACTGGGAGACCACCCAAAGCGGGAAGGAGAATCAACTCCTCAGAGATGTGCCATGGCATACCACATGCGTGTACACACACACACACACACACACACACACACACACACACACACACACACAAATAAATAAACGCTTTTACATACCCCCAAGTCCTTCCACCAGGGGCACTGCTGGCAGCCTTCTGTACGTCCACTTTGGGGTTTATCTGCATAGCCTGCACACATGGTTTGAGACACCATGGGTTGTTCGGTCTCTAATGACACTTTATTATTTTTCTTTTGGCCATGGTGCTGGGGACCAAACTCCGGTCTCTTCTTCAGGCAAATACTTGGCCACTGGGCTACAGCCCAACCACTTTTTTTTGGAGACAGGGTTTCTCTGTGTAACAGCCCTGGCTGTCCTGGAACTGGCTTTGTAGACCAGGCTGGCCTCAAACTCATGGAGATCCTCCTGCCTCCTCCTCCTGATTGCTGGGATCAAAGGTGTGCACCACCACCACCTGGCTCCAACCACTATTTTTAATTATTGTTTTTTTCTATTTTAACACAATATGACTTTGGTGTTTTTGTTTTAGAGACAGGGTCTCACTGAGTAGCCCAGGCTGTGCTTGAACTCATGGTGACTATCTTGTCTCAGCCTCCCCGATGCCCAATTAGATGGCTGCTGCCACTCCCAGCTGGGTTAGTACAGTCTGTTTTTTCATCTGTGATGTCTATGTTTACTTAATGACCCCCATAATTTAGTATTTCAGAATCTTGATGCTTTACTTTCGTGAACAAAGCTATAGCTTGAGCTCTTGTCCCTGGGGTCTGTGGACAGCTGTATGAGTGCCCCAAACGCCCCCAACATTTCCATGACACCTTAGAACTTCTGATATTTGACTGTCATGTGTGAGGTCATTCTGTGTCATGCCCCCCCCCGCCCCCGCCACCCTGTGCCGTCCCTCAGCATAGAATGGGAGACCTACTCCCGGCCCCCAGCCCTGAGCCTGCCAATCTGTGTATGTGCAGATCTGATAGGTGGAAAATAACATCATCGCAGCAACTGTCAGAGCAAAACTTGTCTTCCTGTGTTCACCGCCTTTGGTAGTTTTTCCCGGGTAATTAGTTGGTTTATGTTGATCTTGTCTTATTGTATTGCAAGAACTCTTGGTGTATTAAGGATATGAGCCCTTTCTGGGAGTTCCACACTTCACTAATTTAACTTCCGCCCTTCCTTCCCCGCTTTCGAAGATCCCGCCTGAAGTTCCCCAGAGCATTTCACGTTGGGAAATAGCTCTGGTAGGCAGCCGCCTAACAGCACCCTCGGTTCCGGCCTGGTGCTGTCAGCCTCTGCCTACCGTGGGTCATTAACCCTGGTCTTCTGCTGCCACACAGCAGATGGCTTTCCTGGCTGGAAGCGAGTTTCATTTTCACCTTCCCGCTGGCCCTGTGCCCTGAGACTGTTTACATAAGAAACGGTTTGATTATACTGTGCAACCAATGGCGGCCTTTCTCAGAAGAGGGGGGGCCCAGGAACATATAATCAAAGCCATTAACTGCACACAAAGCTTCACAGCCCACTCTGGGTTTCCCACCATCCCTAATGACAGTTTTCCAGGGAAAAATAAAAGCAGGGTTATGGCCTCCTCCTAAAAACGTGTTAAGGAACAGGCTTTTAAAAGGAGACTGTGGCTTCAGCCTTTTTACCCTAAAGCCCAAGCACTGGAGCTCACGGATCTCTTGTAAAAGCACCACCTTCGAGGTCCACAGACAGGGTTCAAATACGGGGACCAGAAGCCCCCACTGTTCTCTCTCCAAAGAACTAAGGAGCCATAGTTTCTCTCTCAGGGCCCTTCAGTCCCGAGGTGTGACGAAAAACCAAGGACTCATGCTTTTCCCATTTTTCCTGTCCCATTCTAAGATGTTACGGATGCTCTCGTGGCTTCAAGGCAGCTGCCACCACTGCAGGGGTGACAGACACTATCCACGAAGATGAGGGTGGCTGTCCTTTACGGGTGCCTCCTTTTCTGAGCCACGCTCCGCTCCCCCCACCTCCCCAAGACTTCCCGTCATATCACAGGTCTAATTCCCAACCAGTCATCATCGGGGAAGGAAACTGCCTCAAACTGGTTTATGCCTCTAGCCACTTGCTTGGGGGTGAGGGAGAAGAGGGACCACTTCTCTGAGCACACAGGCAGACACCAACTTAACAGAAAACGGATCCCTGCTAGGAAAGAAGGCGTGGGCAGGGTGAGTTGTGGGCACAATCCCTGGCAACCATTGGGGGCATTAAGGACAGATGTGGCACACTCCAGCCACCACGGGCCATAGAGAACTCCATATGGGAACGCCATTGCTGTCATAGGCCAGAGGGTCCCTTAGGGCACCAGATTCGGGATCCAAGCCTGAGGCTTCTCATGTGGATAGCCCAGGAGAACCTCACACTCAGCAGCCTTTGAAGATCACACCCACCCCATCTGTCACATAACTTACCTGGGTCAACAGCAGGTGGGTCTGGAGCCTTCCTGCTGTCCCTACCCTCTGGGCCTGAACCCCCACCTCCATTGACACTTTGCCTGGACCTTGGTGATCTCCCTGCTGCCCGGTGACCTCCCATGGCCTGTGTCATCCCCTTCCCGCTCCATCCTGTCTCCTTGCTCAGGGAAGCTCCTCTGCCCACCCACCCACCCCGACTCACGTTAGATGCCACAGCTGCGCTCGCTGCCTCATGCCATTGGACTGGTCTGTGTGAGTGCTCGGCCCGCCTCGCTGAGAACTCTGCCCGGCTCAGAGTGGGAGTCGGAGGTTTGGTTTTGTTATTGTTGCTTTAATCTTACTGAAGGAATGAACGGATGCAAGCTGGGCATGTGGCTCAGCTGGTAGAGCATTTGCCTAAGCATTTACATTAAGCCCTGGGTTTGATTCTCAGCACCCCATAAGCCAGGCATGGGGGTGCACCCCTGTAATCCCAGGAGAATCACAAGTTTGGGGTCAACATGACTACTCTGCCAGTAAAGGCCAACTTGGACAAGAAAGAAAGAAGGAGTGGGGTGGGGAGTCTGTGCACTGCTCTGTAGTCTGAACAATCTTTCCAAGAAACAAACTAACCACTGCACTCTCCTGCCTACAGTCTCTATGGTTCCTTTTACCTTCAAGGCAAAGTCCAGTAGCTCTCCCGGGCCTCTGGAGGGATTGCTACCCATCCTGTCACAGCTCACCTGTCCGTGTCCACTGCACTCAGTGCCCCGTCCCCCTGGGGTGCCCGTCCCCCTGGGGTGCCCCAGAACCTCATATTCTATCTGTTCCTGCTCCTGGCTGTGCTCTGCGCCTCTCCTGGAGACCCAGCTTCCGTCCATCCATCTTCTCTGTCAACCTCACAGCTTCCACACAGGTTCAAAATGGCTGCTCTGGCCCCTCCGTCACTCCCTCATCCCAGTCAGTGGGAAGTGAGAGTCACTTTCATTTAGTGAAGGGCTGTGGAAGAAGCGGAGGGCAGGCCCCACATGCACATCCTCGGTGCCTCAGGCACCTTACGCTTAAGACTCAGGTTCACTGGGGTGTGGGTGGCCAGGGGCAGCCTGGTTCATTGTTCTGGCCAGCAATGCCCTACCCCTGGGAGGACTGTCAGCACCTTCCTGACAGGGTGCCCCAGGAACTCACTCA